TATATATTTATTATATTTTATTTATATTTATATTTGAGCTTGTGCTGCATGGCTTATTTTGGAAGCTCTCCTAGAAAAATTTATAGAAAGAAATACTTTATAAAAAAGTAGTTGAGATCAGCAGTCTAATTAAAAAGTTGTTTGAAGAGAGGTCTTATAGACACAGAAACTTAACATTAGATGCTTCATTGTCCTAGTATTAAAACTCTATTTAAAATTATTAATCTGTGTCTGGTTACTTTTTTTTTTTTCTCTTCTACAAAATAAAAATAAAGTATAACCTGTAAAACACATAATCTTGCTTGAAATGCGTCTTCAATAACATTTTTCACATCTTTCCTCAGACCTGTTTGAGGCCCTTTCAGAACTTATCATTTTGACAGCAAGTCATTGCTTACATGGGAAAGAAATAAGAAGTTTGCTGAATGAGAAGGTGGCTCAGCTGTATGCCGATTTGGATGGGGGTTTTACTCACGTTGCCTGGCTCCTGCCCGGTTGGCTACCTCTGCCGAGTTTCAGGTGCTGGAAATTACAGATGAAGCAACTTAAGCATTTTATCTAAATGTCTTTAGTGTTTGGTTGTTCCCCCCCGCCCCTCCTGGCTCCCCCTCCATTTCTGGTTTGTAAGCTATTCTAGACATCTCAATAAATCCTCATAAGCCTTTTATGTGTTACTTTGTATAAAGTTGCTAATAGAAGTGTTTTGAATCGCAGACGTCGAGATCGAGCACACAAAGAAATAAAGAATATTTTCTACAAGGTTATCCAGAAACGGAGAAAGTCTGAGGAAAAGGAGGATGACATGCTCCAGACTCTACTTGATGCTTCATACAAGTAAGCCAAGGGTTTGAAGACTTGTCATTTGTAGATGTTTTACTTTAGCTTTGAGCACTTCAGTTAAACACTATTTATCAAAATATAAGAAATATTCCCTCATGTTGTGAATTGATTTTGTTTCCAGCAGTCGCTCCTAGCTGTATTCTTAAAAACAGCCTAAAAACTTTACTTGCGAATGGTTATTCAGATTTCTGAGATTTTCAGCAGTGCTGGCGAGGTTGCTTCCTCTCTCTTTGCTGGCTGCTCACTAATTATTTTCTTTAAGGCTCCTAGAGAGTCTCTCTCCCCCTCTGTTCTCCCTTGTCCCTACCCCTAGGTCTTTTGCTGCTCCATTTAGGGTAGGCAACAGAAGAGATGGAGGAGAAAGAAGTACATTAGAATAACTTGTAAATCCTACTGTAACTGGAAACCTCATCAAATGAAGCTGTAACACAACACTTTTCAACCTAGGGATGGCCGTCCACTGACAGACGAGGAAATTGCTGGAATGCTTATTGGGTTGCTCCTCGCGGGACAGCACACATCCTCCACCACCAGTGCCTGGCTTGGCTTCTTCATTGCCAGAGACAAATCAATACAGGAACGGTGCTATGCTGAACAAAAAGCAGTTTGTGGGGATGACTTGCCACCATTAACTTACGACCAGGTTTGTATGTTTTTTCTGCTGAGTGGTGTTCTACTTTTAGATGTTTAATTTAAAACAAACAAACAAAAAAAACCCAACAACCCAAAACCCCGTAAAATATAGTAATATGCTTTGTGTTAGAATCATAAACTGGCATAATTGCTGTGTGGTGACACTGTTAGTCAATGTATCTCCTTTATCACCTCCTCTCCAAGTAAATTTTCAGCTTGTTACTGTTATTTTAATCAGTGTTGATTAAGGAAATTACACTTCCTACAATTTCTATCTAAGAAATTATAGTTCAGTAGTGGAGGAAGATCCTCACATTCCATGGAGGAAAGGGATGCACTATGACCTTGTTCTTTAATTAGGCATCAGAAAACACTCATGAGATGGATTAGTAAGAAACTAGTTGTGATTGATTGCACTTGACAGAGATTTTTTTTTTTTTCTTCTTAGTTGAATCTAATGGGGGGAAAAAAGAAATTATCAGGGTAGCTAATGAAGTACAAGTAAATATGAGCTGCTTATGCTTTCATTTTTTTATTTTTTCATTTTTTTTAATGGTATGAAATACCATTTTGTTTGTGTTGAATAAACTTGGCTGTATTTTGATATATCATTTTCTCTATATCTTTAGCTCAAGGATCTCAGTTTGCTGGATCGCTGTATAAAAGAAACTTTAAGGCTTAGACCTCCTATAATGACCATGATGAGAATGGCCAGAACTCCCCAGGTGAGTACACTTGTTGGAACTAACTTCACTTCAGCAGAACAGGGCTGGAAAAGGCCAGGTGGGGGCTGTCCTGGTAGGCAGAAGGAAAAGCATGAGTGAGCTGTGTTTGCTGGTAGGGATGAAAGCTGATGGCTGCCTGGGTTATATCAGTGGGAGTGTAGCTGGTGTTGGTGGAGGAAAGCAATTAATGCCTTGAACTTGGTGGTTCTTATGTTAATCTGGAATTTTTTGGGTTGAGTTTTGGACCCTTCTGGCCCCCAGCAATCAAAAAGTTGATGAAGTGAAGCAAGCAGAGGGCCACCAAGATGGTAGGAGGTTGCAGCACTTGTCCTGAGAAGAGAGGCTGAGGGACCAGTATTTCTTCAGCCTGGAGAAGGGAAGGCTCTGAAGGGACCTAGTAACAGCCACCTGCAGTCTTGTTCAGCAAAAGTGACCCTTTCTTGTAGCTATCAATCAGTCTCACTTCAGTTCTTAGTTTGGTGCTACCGTTTAGAGATATTTTTTTGTTTGCCAGGTATTTTTAATAGCTAACTTGGAAAAAACTTGGCTTGCACTTAATACAATACAAGCTAAGGAAAATGTGAAAGATTTGTACAAATAAGATAAAAAAAAACCCCAAAACTTTTTTTTTTATTTTCTTAAAGAATGGCCCTCCCATGACAAATGCTTTCAACAAATTTTAACTTAATTTTTAAAAAAATACTCTTTCTGTAGAATTGACAGCTTTGTTAAAGCAGCTGAAAGGTTCCTGCAACTACTTGAACGTTGTGCCTTGTACAAGTGAAGCAATAAAGTATTAGACTGCCTTACTTTTAAATGAGCTTAGCCAAAATCTCTTTTGAAATTCAAACCTCCTAATACAGCACTTCAGGTAACATTTTAAAAAGAAAAATGGAGAAATTTTGTGAAATTTGTCTTGTCTATTCTCTTGTAGACTGTTGCTGGATACAATATTCCTCCTGGCCATCAGGTCTGTGTGTCTCCCACTGTTAACCACAGACTCAGGGACTCCTGGAAAGATGCTCTGGACTTCAAGCCTGACCGGTATCTCCGCGATAACCCAGCCGCTGGAGAGAAATTTGCCTATGTTCCTTTTGGCGCTGGTGAGTAAGAAAACGCGACGCCTTCCTGAGTGATGGTGTACGGACATGGCTCACTGGTCAGCTCATACAGCACCTCCCCACGCTGTAGTGACTGAGGATGTGTTGGGTTTTTGTGTTTTTCTTTCTATTCCTGCCTTAAAGTTTTCTTACTGTGATAGAGCTGTTAAAAGAATGAAGTCAATAGTTTTACATTAGTCATAGCTGTATATTTATCACTCGGAGTAGCAATCAAAACCAATCTTTAGGTTACACATGTGATATTTGACTTGAGTCGTCTCAAGGCAAGGTGAAAACCTGGTAATACAAAGTCAGTTTAAGGCAGAGCATAGAGTCACAACTGCCAAAGCTATTTGCAAGTATCGCCACAATAGAGTTGGCTCTTTTCTCAGTGTTGCAAGTGCTTTGGTGATAAGTAAGTTAACGCTTTCTGGGGAGGACAGAACAACACGATCTCATCCAAATTACTCTGTTTTACGCAGTGACAGCTTATTAAAACAAGACTTTGATGGAGTTATGTAACAGGGTACGTACAGCGTCGGAGCCTCACCTCATTTAGGAAGGAAAGAAGCAATTTTTAAAGTTAGCTTGTTGCCAGAGGTGATTTAATACCAAAGTATTCTAACTGCTTTTCATGGCTTTCCTTCTAGGCCGTCATCGCTGCATTGGAGAAAACTTTGCTTATGTTCAGATTAAGACTATTTGGTCTACTTTGCTTCGTTTGTATGAATTTGATCTCATCAATGACTATTTTCCGACTATAAATTATACAACAATGATCCACACACCTAATAACCCCGTTATCAGATATAAGAGGAGGTCACTGTAAATTATGGAGCTAAAACCTTACTACTTGGTGTAAACTAACAGACTTGACTTGAATAAAATTGTGACAAAATGAGTGGCAAATGGAAACAGTTACACCTACTGTTAGGAAAGCAACAGTAATCTACACAGTGCGAAGTCTTTGCATATGTTCTGTGGGTTTGCCCGCACCATTTAATACTGCTGTGTCTAATTGCTTGTTTTATAAATTTCTCATAGCGTTTTTAAAGAAAAAGTGTCTTCTAAGGTGCATGTCAACTCTTTAAGGTGAAGAAATGTAATTTCTACATATTTTGAAAAACAATTGAAGATATTCCCCCAGATACCAAGGGGTAGGACTGCATACTTTACCTCTGTATCCAATTACAGTCAGTCAGGGAACAGGCACAGAGGGGGAATGTAGGTGATAGTGCCCTAACTTTGATATTTGTGATTCTGTTCCAAGTGAACTAGATATAGTCTTGGCTGATTATTTAAAAAAAAAAAAAAAAAGTTACTCTACAGCTGAGTAGCAGGCAGCAGACTACAAAATGTTCACAAAGTCTTTTCTGAGAATAAATTATTTAAATGTCTAACTTGAAGCAGCTGTAAAATGCTCAGGTTCAGAAAGCAACAAATAATTTTCTAAAAGTCTCTGGAAGTAGCGATCTCTGAAAGCAGTGATCTCTGAAAGCTTGATGTAAGTGGGAAAGTAAAAATACAATGACACAAGCAACATTAGTTTTGTAAATAACATGTTTGTGCATAAAATGGTCAGAAATTAAGTGAAATAGCTGAATGTTGTTCCCTTTTGTACTGACTCATGCAGGATTGTTAAATGGTGTTTGGTTCAAGAGTGGTGATGATAAATGATAATGAGCTCTGGCTCCCAGGAAGTTTGAATTAAATGTATAAACAAACCTCTTGTGGAAGTTTTCTGTGCTGAACTCTGTCAATTCTGAAAAGCTTTTCTACATAACTGTGTAATAAGCTTGCTTTCTTCTAAGTACAAAGTTGGACATGCAACAAGCTCCCCCCCCAATCAGTGCTCATTTCAGCAAGGACCTTGGCCCAGCTGTTCTAAGCTCAGGTGTAACTGTTACAAATCTTGTGTCAGTCACAGCAACTAAGGGAGTGCAGTTTCCCTTCCAGCCCTGTCAGATATAACCAGGGTCTTCAGAAACCAGGCTTACACCTGTCTTCTTGTTAGTGGCAGTGTTTTGGAACCTGTAAAAAGCAAAGCTGCAGCCACCACAAGCAGGAGTGCAGGTAGGAGCAAGCTTTTCAGTGTGAATAAGGGAGTGAACACAGTTAAAAGCATGAAGTCATCTTTATTTCAGTACTTTGACAAAATACCCATAAAATTCAAAACTTCTACCATTACAAAAATAGGTCTCTACAGGTGATATTCTGTCTGCACTGCCAGTAGCAAATATTATCAGTCATGTAACTTCAGTAGCCTTGCCAGAAAAAGTGCAAGTAAACTTTGCTGAATGTAGCTCAATTTTATTAATACACAAGTTTCATCTTTGCATCCTTTTGATAAATACACACTTCATAAGTTAATCACTTAAATTAGCATTCCACAAATATACATGTAATTTAATGGTGGAGTGGGGGGGGTTTTGTTGCTTTTTTTTTTTTTCTCTTTTTTTTTTCTTTTCCCCCTCCATGACCACGAAGTGCCTATATACACAAATGCCAGTCTGCGTGGGTGTGCCAGGATGGAACTGTATACAGTTGTCTAGCTGTGTCTGTATTGGTCCCACAATATACACACTATACAAAAGCACAGAAAGAGCACAGATTGACAGAGGCAACCCATGAACATCAACTGCCAGTGCTGGAGATGTTGAAAGGGTATTATCTTCTCACACCAGCGTGCAGCTGAGTGTATGAAGTCGAACCTGTAAGAGAGAGAAAGATTTTAATCAAGATTACTTGGAATAAGTAGATGAGGATTCACCAATGACATGGTATTTAGATGAATAAGCATGAAAGATTTTACATGGGAAATCTTTTAAGAACAAAACCTCCTCAAATGATGGATTTTATGCTGAAGTAAGACTTTAATATAGCACCTGCAAAAATCAAGTTTAGTAAATTATGTCCCATTGATCTGATAATTTTCTTGATGTATTCCTTTTACAGCACAAAAAATACCACCATCTATGGGACAAAAAGGCTACAACTTCTGTAATCGCAGTAATAAGAGAAGAAATTCCCTTTGTACTCCTCAAATCTTTTGGGTACATTTTTCTCCATCTAGCTTAAAATCTTAATAGTATGCCAACTGAATCCTTGTTGCACATTTATTAGAGATCTGGGAAAGTTAAATAAACTCAAAGTCTGTAATTAAAGCACACTTGTATGTCTACCTTAAAAAATTTTACTATTTCTTTTTAATGAGCTTTTTGCTACAGCTCAGAATAGCCTTTTGTTTAAGGCTGAAAATGCCTAAAATCAAAGATGTTTGTTATGTATCTCGGAGAACCAGCACATGCTTTCTAACTTGGAACTGTGCCCTGTGCTACCCAGGAGTCACGGGGAGGACTGCCCAAGCCCTCACCTGACTGCACGCTGCCGAGTCGCCTTTGCAGTGCCTCCAGCCGATTGATGTAGTCTGTTAAAGCTCTTTCAGGATCATAATTCTGCAGTTGAGAACAGGCGAAGGAGACTGGGTTGAAATCAGCATGCATACTGTGGAACCTAGGGGCAGAAGAACACGGATGTTTTTAAAAAGCAACATTTCAAATAAAATAAATATATCAGCAGAAACAGCAAAATACTGTAAGCAGGGATACCTTACTGACTGCATGTTCCTTAACTTACCCTTGTGGTAGCCAGCACATCATACCCATTTAACCTCCCTGCCATCATACTGCCTCCCCCAGAGAAACCACTTTTCCCAGTTGCCTTTTCTTTCTAGAGCACCTGATTTGTTGCTGCATTTCTTTGGGACAAAGACTGACCAGCAAATTCCTACTGAGACTGCAGCAGAAGCTGTTGTAGATTGCTGTTTGCTTTTCTATTAAGAAACTTGTGTGAACAAGGGCACAGCTATCTCTACAGGATTCTTTCTTCATTACTTTCTGTAAGTAGAAGTCAAAAGCGGCTAAAACAGATTAAGCATTTTTTCCATGTAAACTGTTACGGTTGCCACAAACTAAGATTACAAATGTTGGGGTGGTTTATATAAAAATAAAGATCCAAAATGGCAAGAATCTGATAATCACAGAATCACAGAATGTCAGGGATTGGAAGGGACCTCGAAAGATCATCTAGTCCAATCCCCCAGTAAAGTAAAATTCAGTAAAGCTCAGAGCCTACAACTCCATATAAAGTAATTAAAGGCTGATGGCACTCCTAAAAACCTTGTCTTTGGTGAAAAATACCTGGTTTCATTGGCATCTGATTCACTGATACCTCTGGCATCACAGGTTCATACAGCCAACCAGAAGGGTTTAATCAAGAACAAGCAGCAGAGCTACCAAGCAGCTTCCACCCACGCTCTGGCCAGGAGGCGGTGGTAATTCCTCCCCAGCCCACAGTAACCAGATGGCCGTCCCCTGCCACAGTGAGCTGCTCTGCTTTTCCCTGGCCCTGCTTTTCCCTTCCTTCGGCCGAGTGCACCTGAGAAAGCCCCGCTCTGCACCCACTGCTGGCAACCAGAAAGGTGGACAGGTTTGCTTGGTTGTAAAGCCTAGACTCTACTGAGATAGGGAAATGTAGCTCTATCCAGTCACCTACCACCAGTTCCAAGGACATGACATAAACCAGACGGCAGAAGTCTGCAAGCTTTGGCCTTGATCAGGCAACGAGTAAATGCCCACTGAAGCCCTGGGATGTCATTTGTTATGTATCTTTACAAAAAAGGCAAAAATCTTAACGGCATCAAAGATTACAAACCTTAGCAATAAGCACTGATGCATTCATTTAGTTAAACAGCGTTCTGACAGAGAATAAAAATCGAAAATAAAACATACTTATGTTGAAAGTTTGCAGGAGATCTAGGAGACTCCATGTCTGCCCTGGATCTATAAGAATGCCTTTGTTCTCCATAAAGATCCACGCCACCAGAGAATGAATCGGGACGTAATTCATTACCTAGAAATATAAAAAGCAACGTCTTGAAAACTAAAAAAAAAAGTAACACCTTTTGCACTGTACTAAGAATCTCAAATGCGAGTTTTCTGTTTGCATAACACAAAAATGGTTTAACAAATGTAGACCACTTTCAGGCAGTCTGAGAGAGAACCAGAGGTGAAATCCTGGCCTCACTGATGTTAATGAGAAAACTCTCAGACTGAGCAGGACAGGGTTTTAGTGCAGACCAAGACAGCCAGGAATTAATAAAGAAGCTTCTGATTCTCCTTGGGCTCCTACCAAAAAGCAAACAGAAAAACAGATTTCCCAAACTTCAAGCTATAACAAAAGAATCACAGACTTTTGTCATGAGGAAAAGGCCAGGGAGGCTGGTCAACAGGCTCTGTCGCCACTGTGGGTTCCTGTAGCTGCTACAATTCCTCTGTCTGTCCCTGTATTCAGCATCCCCTCTCAGAGCTGGGGGCCCAGATCTCTTTCAAGAAACTCAATAAGGCAGCTAAAATTGTTTTTACAAACACACTCCATGGGGAAAGTTGCCCAATTTTTTTAAATCTCACACACAATGGAACAAAACAATACTGAAGAGAAAGCAAATAGATTAGTGTCTGTGCTGAGCATGGAAAATATCAGAAACCTGAGAAACAGGTTAATCCAAGCTACTATAGCAAAAGGAAGGGGGAACAGCACCTCATTCATTCCACATGAGGAAAATGCAAATTAAAAACCGTGTCCATTAAGCAGTGATTTGATTACTAATACCTTTTTTTCAGTCACTACCAGACTATGATTTACCTGTGTTCTGGCTAAAGACGTCCCTATTGATACTTAGAATACCAGAACCCGTAACTCTGTGCCATCGACGAACCATGAACTTCATTCTGCATTTCAAATAAATAAATAAATAAATAAATAAAAGTTCAGGACAAATGAAATAGTCTGCTAAAAATAATCTGCTTCTTGTATTCTAAAAGGCATAAGAATTTCTTGAACATAAAAAAATAAATAAATGGATGGGTATCTCAAACCTGAAGATCAAGTAGAAAACATTCTTATGCACATGAATAAGAAAAACACCTTTTGTCTAAATCTGCTTTCAGCG